AAGTGAGAGAGCCAATCTGAAAAGTCTACATATTTTGTGATTCCAACTGTATGACATTCTGGAAAAGGCAAAACTATGGAGACAGTAAAGAGATCAGTGGTTGCCAGGGATTGGGGGAAGAAGGGAATGAATAGGCAGACCACAGAGGATTTTTAGAAGAGGAAAACTATTCTGTATGCTGTTATAATAGTGGATATATGTCATCATACATTTGTCAAAACTCATAGAATATACAAAACCAAGAATGAACTCTAAATTATGGACTTTGGGTAGTAATAATGTATGAATGTAGGTTCATCAACTGTAACAAATATGCCACTCTGGTGGTGTGGGATGTTGAGATAGTGGGGTAGGCTATGACTCTTTTGGAGGCAGGGGGTATATGGAAATTCTCTGTACTTTCTGCTCAGTTTTGCTGTGAACCTAAAACTGATGTAAGAAGTGAAGTCTACTGGGGTGCCTGGCTGGCTCAGTCTGTAGAGCATGTGACTCTTGATCTCAGAGTCATGAGTTCATGTCCCATGCTGGGGGTAAAGTTTACTTAAAAAAAAAGTCTATTAAAAATTAACTGTTTAAACAAAAATCATAACAGTGTATTGTGGGGTACAAGTAAAATGCATAACAATAATGTAAAGTCCAGGAAGACAGAAATTGAAGTACATTAACATAAGTTTATAACTCTTCATGAAGTGGTATAATAACACTTGAAGGTAGACTGTTAAGTTATGGTTGTACATAATAAACCTATAAGCAACGACTAGAATAATAAAACAAAGATGTAAAGCTAATAAACCAATAAGGAGATAAAATGGAATTAAAATAATATTGATCAATCCAAAAGAAGGCAGAAAAAAGAGGAAAAAGAGAACAAAGAAGAGATGGGACAAAGGGAAAACAAAAGCAAGATGACAGACTCAAACTTAGCCATATTGGGGTGCTTGGATGGCTCAGTGGGTTAAGTGTCTGACTCTCGATTTTGACTCAGGTCATGATCTCGTGGTCGTGGGACCAATCCCCGCATTGGTCTCTGCACTGAGCACAAAGCCTGCTTGGGATTCTCTCTCTCTGCCCTTCCTCTATGCTCTCTCTTAAATACATTAACATAAAAAAACCCTTAACCATATTAACAATTACATTAAATGTAGATTGGCCTAAGGGTGCCTGGGTGGCTCAGTTGGTTAAGCATCTGACTTTGGCTGGGTCATGATCTCATGGTTCATGAGTTCGAGCCCTGCGTCTGGCTCTGTGCTGACAGCTCAGAGCCTGGAGCCTGCTTCAGATTCTGTGTCTCCCTTTCTCTATGCCCCTCCCCCACTCATGATTGTCTCTCTCTCTCTCTCTCTCTCTCTCTCTCTCAAAACATGAATAAGCATTTAAAATTTTTTTCTTTTAATGTAGATTGGTCTAAACACCCCAGTTACAGAGTAGAGATGGTAAAGCTGGGTAAAAATTAAAAAAGCAAGACCCAACCATATGCTGCCTATAAGGAATGCTCTTTAAATACAGAGACACAAATAGGTTAAAAGTAAAAGTATGTAAAAGAGATGTGCCATGATAACCCTGCTCAAAAGAAAGCTGGGGGGGGGGGGGGTGCTATATTAGTATGGAAGAAAGTAGATTTCAGAGCAAAGATACCAGGAATAAAGAAGGTAGGGGCGCCTGGGTGGCTCAGTTGGTTGAGCCTCTGACTTTGGCTCAGGTCATGATCTCATGGCTTATGAGTTTGAGCCCCTCACGGCTTGTGAGTTTGAGCCCCGCGTCGGGCTCTGCTGACAGCTCAGAGCCTGGAGCCTCTTCAGATTCTGTGTCTTTCTCTCTCTCTCTGCCCCTCCCCCCACTCACGCTCTGTGTCTCTGTCAAAAATAAACAAACATTAAAAAAAGAAGGTAATCTCATAATGTAAAGGGGTCAATAAATGAAAAGAACATTTCTTTTTTTTTTTTTTCAACGTTTATTTATTTTTGGGACAGAGAGAGACAGAGCATGAACGGGCGAGGGGCAGAGAGAGAGGGAGACACAGAATCGGAAACAGGCTCCAGGCTCTGAGCCATCAGCCCAGAGCCCGACGCGGGGCTCGAACTCACGGACTGCGAGATCGTGACCTGGTTGAAGTCGGACGCTTAACCGACTGCGCCACCCAGGCGCCCCGAAAAGAACATTTCTGAATACATATACACTTGATATAAGAGCTTCAAAATACATGAATCAAAAACAGATAAACTGCAAGGAAAAATAGACAAATCCACAATTCTACTCAGAATATTCAGATATTTCAACAGCTTTCTCTCAATAATTGATAGAAAAAGTAAGCATAAAATCAGCAAAGATATAGTAGAAGTAAACAACACTATCAACCTCATTGACCCAATTGACATTTTTAGAACACTCCATCCATTAGTATCAAAATACACATTCTTTTCAAGTGCACATGGAGTATTTACCAGAATAGACCATGTTCTAGGCCACAAAAAAGACTCAATGAATTCAAAAGGGTCAAGACATACAAAATATGTTCTCTAAAAACAATGGAATTAAATTACACATCAACAACCAAAAGATCTCTGGGAATTCCTCAATATTTGAAAATGAAACAATCCACTTCTCGATATCCCATGGGTCAAAGAAGAAATCAAAAGAGAAAATAGAAAATATTTTGAACTCAATAAATATTTAAAAAACCACACTGTATAATTTATGGTATTTTGCTAATGCAGTATTTAGGGGGTAATTTTTGTGTACTAAAAACCTGTATTAGAATAGAAGAAATGTCTCAAAACAATGACTTCAGCTTTCACTTCAGTAAAAAGAAGAGCAAATAAAACTCATAGTAACATAATTAATGGAGATCAAAGTGGAAATCAGTGAAATAGAAAACAAAACAATAGAGAAAATCAACAAAACCATATTCTTGTAAGGCAATATTCATAGCAGCATTATTTATAATAGTCAAAAATTGTAAACAACCAAAATGTCCATCAAAAGATGAACAGTAGCTAGAAAAGTCAAATTCATGGAGACAGACATTTGGTTTCCAGAGGCTGGGGGCAGGAGGGAATAAGGTGTTATTGCTTAATGGATACAGAGTTACTATTTGGGGCGATAAAAAACGTTTTGGACATATCAATGGTGATGATTTTGCACAGCATTGTGAATATACTTAATGGCACTGAATTGTACACTTGAAAATGGTGAAAAGGGCAAATTTTGTAATACATATTTACCACAATTTAAAAAATGAATAATGTGGGGCACCTGGGTGGCTTAGTCATTAAGCGTCTGACTCCAGATTTCAACTGAGGTCATGATCTCACAGTTGGTGAGATAGAGCCTGCTTGGGATTCTCTCTGTCTCTCTGCCCCTCTCCTGTGCTCTCTCGCTCTCTCTCTCAGAGTAAATAAAGAAACTTAAGGGGCGCCTGTGTGGCTCAGTCGGTTGAGCATCAGACTTCGGCTCAGGTCATGATCTCACTGCTTATGGGTTCGAGCCCCGTGTTGGGCTCTGTGCTGACAGCTAGGAACCTGGCACCTGCTTCGGATTCTGTGTCTCTCTCTCTCTCTGCCCCTCCCCTGCTTGCACTTGCTCGCTCTTCTCTCCCTCTCTCCCTCAAAAAGGAATAAACATTAAAAAAATAAAAATAAATAAAATGAAATAAAAACAAAGTAACTTAAAAAATAATGTAATATACAAAAACTGCATTGAATTGTACAATTTTTAAAAAGATTTATTTTTTTCAGTCTTTATTTTTGAGAGACGGAGCATGAGTGGGGGAGGGGCACAGAGAGAGAGAGAGAGAGAGAGAGAGAGAGAGAGAGAGAATGAGAGGGAGACACAGAACCCGAAGCAGGCTCCAGACTCTGAGCTGTCAGCACAGACCCGACGCAGGGCCCAAACTCATCAACCGCGAGATCACGACCTGAGCCGAAGATGGAGCTTAACCGACTGAGCCACCCAGGCGCCCCAAAGATTTTTTATTTTTAAGTAGTCTCTACACTCAACCTAGGGCTTGAACTTAGGACTCTGAGATCAGGAGTCACATGGTCTACTGACTGAGCCAGCCAGGTGCCCCTGTAATTGCAGGATTAAAATTAGTGAATTGTGCAGTATGTGAATTTAGATCTCAACAAAGTTGCTAAAAAAAAGAGTGCATACTATATGATTCCATTTACAGAAAACTCTAGAAAATGCAAATTAATACATAGTGACAGTAACCCTAATTCATTCACTAGCTCATTTTCTTTTTATAATTTTTTTAAAAACATTTATTCATTTTTGAAAGAGAGAGACAGAGTGAGAATGGGGAAGGGGCAGAGAGAGAGGGAGACACAGAATTTGAAGCAGTCTCCAGGCTCCAAGCTGTCAGCACAGAGCCTAATACGGGACTCAAACTCACAGACCACAAGATTATAACCTGAGCCAAAGTTGGCCGCCCAACCGACTGAGCCACCCAGGCGCCCCATCTTTTTAAAAATATTTATTCTTTTTTTTTCCTGACAGGCATTTATTTATTTATTTATTTATTTATTTAATATGATTTATTGTCAAATTGGCTTACATGCAACACCCAGTGCTCATTCCAACAAGTGCCCTCTTCAATGCCCATCACCCATTTTCCCTCTTCCCCCACTCCACCCTCAGTTTGTTCTTTGTATTTAAGAGTCTCTTATTTATTCTTTTTTTTAAATGTTTTATTTATTTTTGAGAGAGGGAGAGAGAGCACGAGCAGGGGCGGGACAGAGAGAGAGGCAGACACAGAATCCGCAAAGCAGGCTCCAGGCTCTGAGCTGTGAGCACAGAGCACGACATGGGGCTTGAACCCGTGAACCATGAGATCATGACCTGAGCCAAAGTCAGATGCTCAACCGACTGAGCCACACAGATGACCCCAAATGTTTATTTATTCTTGAGAAAGAGAGAGACAGAGAGGGAGACACAGAATCTGAGGTAGGTTCCAGGCTCCTAGCTGTCAGCACAGAGCCTGCCCCCAGGCTGTAACTCACAACTCCGGAGATCATGACCTTAGCGAAGCCGGTGGCTTAATGGACTGAGCCACCCAGGCACCCCGCACTCCCAGAGCCACCCACACGCCCCTCGTTTTCTTTTATCGCCTCTGTTTCTCCTACTACGTCAGTTTCCCGAGCGCCTCCTTATGTTAATATTGGTCTCGAGGAGGAAAAGGGGGCCTGCGGAGGAGGGGGTGGCCTCACTTGCCAAGGGAAAGATGAGCCTTGGGGACCTCTGAACCGAGTAACTCCTTTTGGGGTCCGCACCTGGGGTCCGGAGCTAAGTAATCCTCGATCACCCCCAGGGTGTAGTTTAGAAGCCTGTGACTGGCAGACAGTGAGGTTGGCCCTAGGACTCCACTTCCCAGGAGGTGTCGGGGCACCGTGCCGAGACTGCGTGTGACGACGGGGTGGGACTCGGTAGCTGCCCGGATGTGGCGCTGAGCCCGCCGAGCCTGCCCACCCCGGGCGAGAATTGCCCTGGAGGCTCTGCCCGCATCGGTGAGCGACGCGGGGAGGACGATCGTTTTGCCAGGTAATCTTTTTGGAGACCCTCCCCCCCACCGGGCGGTACCCCTCGCCGCCCTCTTCTTGAGTCTCCCCATCCCCGGACGGTTGGTTCCCTTAGTCTGTGAGCCATTCCCTGGATGGAAGGCATTTGAGGGTGGGATGAGGTGTATGTATGTTATGGAGGAGACTGAGCCAGCTCTTCCTGTTTGTGAATCCTGTTTGTGGGGCACCTCTCTGTCCCGGGCTCACCAGTTCATATGAAGTGCCGGATTCAATTAGCCTTGGTGAAGAAGGATGTGAGGGAAGTGCTGAGCGGGCTCGTGTGGTATTGAGGGGTCACTAGCACTGCCTCTGGGTTGGGGAGTGTTCACATGGCTTCCTTCGGCCCCCAGTCCTAAAGCCTTCTTCGACTGGACTTGAACCAGAGAAGTCTGTCTTCAATGTGAAAAGGCTTCCCGGATTTAGTAGGTAACTAAGTTGCAAAGTGTGGTAAATAAAAATGGGGGGAGGGTCTTCTGCTGAATTGATTTAGTTTCAGAAAGTTACAGAGTGGTTTCAAGTACATTAGATTTAGACTTATGGAAAGGGTGAGACTTGGAGGAGAATGTGCTAGAATTACTAATGCTTTTAGCTGCATTCTGGTCTCCGCTGCTATTGGGTCTTTTACATTGTGTTTCAACCTGGGAGAAAATGGACTCCTACGCAGACTATACATGTGAAGAACGATGCCTTGTCAGAGGACATTGGAAGATTTAGAAGAAACTGTAATTCCAGTTAACCGCGAATGACTAACTCAGAAGGGAACTTTCTGGGGGTGCTGATTTCTGCAGCGCTGCACCTCTCCCAATTTCTGATCCTAGAGGCATACCTAAAGATCTCTGAGCTGCTCTGATGTCTACTTCACAGTGCTGCTGGGAGGCTTAAAGAAGATAATGTGAAAGTATTTGGCACAATGCCTATAATAAGCTCTCAAGTTTTAGATTCCCTTTGCTTCCCCATAGCAACTTTTTTTTTCCCTCTGAGCCATGAATTACTTTGTATTATTATTTGCCTTTTCACAGAAGTTTTGTCTTGACCACAAGATTGTAACTTCTAGCATTCTTTCTTTTTACTCTTTTTTGAGTCCCTTCTAGTAGGGTGCTGCCCATAGTAGTACCTGGGAGAGTGTGTGTAGATAGTGGTGGTGGTGAGGAGGGGAAAGCTGAAGGTGACTCTTAACAGCACAGCATTGTGCTAGATCCCAAAGCTGAGGTAGACAAACTTGTCTCATTTGCCTTTCTCTTATAACTTCTAGGCTTCTACCAGAGCTCCAAAACCTTGAAGAATATTTTTATGTTTAGTAATTTAAACCATTTTTAAATGTACAGTACAGTAGTGTTAACTGTATTCATATTGTTGTGCAATAGATCTCTAGAATTTTTCTTTTTTTAAAAAGTTTATTTAGGGGCGCCTGAGTGGCTTGGTCGGTTAAGCGTCCGACTTCAGCTCAGATCGTGATCTCATGGTTTGTGATCTCACGGTTTCTGAGTTCGAGCCCCGCATCGGGCTCTGTGCTGACAGCGCAGAGCCTGGAGCCTGTGTCAGATTCTGTGTCTCCCTCTCTTTCTGCCCTTCCCCTGCTCACTCTCTCTCTCTCTCTGTCTCTCAAAAATAAATAAACATTTAAACATTTTAAAGTGTATTTATTTATTTTGAGAGAGACAGCACAGGTGGGGGAGTGGCAGAAAGAGAGGGGTACAGAGGATTCTATGTGGATTCCACACTGTCAGCACAGAGCCTGATGCAGGGCTCAAACTCACAAACCACGAGATCATGACCTGAGCTGAGGTCAGACGCTTAACCAACTGAGCCACCCATGTGCCCCAGATCTCTAGATTTTTCATCTTGCAAAACTGAAACTTCATATCCATTAAACAACTCCCCATTTCTCCTCCCCCAGCCTTGGCACCTACCATTCTGCTTTCTGTTTTTATGTATTTGACTACTCTAGATACCTCATGTAAGTGGAATCACGCATTATATGGCTGTTTGCAACTGATTTCACTCAGCATATATCCTCAAGTTTCATCCATGTTGTAATGTATGAAGATTTCCTTCTTTTTAGGGCTGAATAATATTCATATATATATCACATCTTTTGAAGTTTATTCATTTTTGAGAGAGAGAGAAAGAGAGACACAGAGGGAGTGGGGGAGGGGCAGAGACAGAGAGAGAGAGAGAGAGAGAGAGAGAGAGAGAGAGAGAGAGAGAGAAACACAGAAGCCCAAGCAGGCTCCAGGCTGCACGCTGTCAGCACAGAGCCCAACATGGGGCTCGAACTCACGAACTATGAGATTGTGACCTGAGCCGAAGTCTGATGCTTAATTGACTGAGCCACTCAGATGCCCTGATCACATTTTTTCTTTATGTGTTCATCCATCGATGGACATTAGGTTGCTTCCACCTCTTGGCTCTTGTGAGTAATGATGCAATGAACACTGGTGTGCAAATATCTCTTTGAGATCCTGTTTTCAGCTTTTTAGATATATTTTTTGTATTATTTTCTAATTTTTATTATTTATTTATTATTTTTGAGAGAGAGAGGGTGCAAGTGAGCGAGGGGCACAGAGAGAGGGAGAGAGAGAGGATCCCATGCAGGTTCCACACTGTCAGTGCAGAGCCCAAAGCATGGCTCAAGCTCACCCGATGCGGTGCTTGAACTCACGAACCGTGAGATCATGACCTGAGCCAATGTCAGATGCTTAACCGACTGAGCCACCCAGGGCGCCCCTTTAATATTATTTTTAAACTTTTTAACCATGGATAATTCCAAACATACACATAAGTAAATAAAATGTATAATGAAGGGTGCCTGGGTGGCTCAGTCAGTTGAGCGTCCAGCTTCGGCTCAGGTCATGATCTCACGGTTTGTGAATTTGAGCCCTGCGTCGGGCTCTGTGCTGACAGCTCAGAGCCTGGCGCCTGCTTCAGATTTTGTGTCTCCCTCTCTCTCTCTGCCCCTCCTCTGCTCTCAGTCTGTCTCTCTCTCTCTCTCTCTCTCTCTCTCTCTCTCAAAAAACAAATAAACATTAAAAAAATAAATAAAATATGTAATGAACATGCAGGCTGAAGAAATTAGTCTATTAATTGTACAAAGTAGCACCCCCAAAACACCTGGGACTTTTCCTGGGCACTCCCTTTCATTGAAAGTTTGCTGTGGGTGAGGATGTTTTGGGTTATGTTTCAGACCTGGGGATGTTCTAGCTGCACTTCATCATCTAGGCTCCCAAGCATCAGTGTGACTTGAAAGCCCATTTGCTTACAGAGATGAGGACCTGAGCTTGGGGTGCAAAGTGGTCTTTGTGCCTAAGAGTTTTGCTCTGGTTCAACAACTCCGTCAGGTGCACAATTGTCCTAAAGGCAGTCACTCTGAACAGAGATGTTAGATACTGGATGATACCTATAGCAGGCTGGGAAGCTGAGTTGTACAGGCAGTAATTGCTATAGGAATTCAGAGGAGGAGGAAATTAATCCAGACTGGGAAAATCAAGGAAGGCTATTCTCAAAGAAGGTGGTGGTGACCTTACCCTGTTTCCGTTGAAATATATGTATGGGGCGCCTGGGTGGCTCAGTCGCTTGAGTGTCCGACCGGCTCAGGTCATGATCTCACGGTTCGTGAGTTTGGGCCCCTCATCGGGTTCTGTGCTGACAGCTCAGAGCCTGGAGCCTGCTTCGGATTCTGTGTCTCCCTCTCTCTCTGCTCCTCCCCCACTTGTGCTCTATCTCTCTCTGCCTCTCAAAAATAAAGAAATGTAATAAAAATTAAAAAAAAAAAGAAATGTATGTTTGATCCTTATGTCTATTCCTAGATGCAAAGAGATTCCTAGATGAAAAGAGCTGATGATCAGTGGATACCCTGGGATGATTGCCTACTGGAGCTGAATTACACCCTGAACTTTTAGCTGTGGGACCTGTGCTAGTGAAGGCTTCTTGGTGGAATGCCTTGCTGGTCAGAATTGGCTGTGTGTGAGGATAGCTGCCTCCAGTGTGCCTGTGTGAAGCATACTCAGAAGGCCAGCTTTTCTTTTTTTTAAGTTTATGTATGTATGTAATCTCTACACCCTACGTGGGGCTTGAACTCACAGCCCCAAGATCAAGAGTCACATGCTCTTCCAACTGAGCCAGACAGGCTCCCCAGAAGGCCAACTTTTCTTGATTCTGACCCAAAATAAGGTGTTTTGTTTTATCTATGATATGGGCCTGATGTACACCTTAGCTAATAAGACAAGATGGGGGATGTATCTATTCCCCCAAATTCCGAAGGTGAGAAACTAACAGATTCTCAATTTTTTTTCCATAATCAAATACATATGACAATTTATCCCCATTCTTCCATGTTCTGACACTTGACGAAGCTAATGCTATCAGGATCAGGTCTGAAATTAGTATAGTAGCTAAGAAGCTAAAAGGAAATGGAGTGTTTTGGGGGACACTGACAGGGTAGGGCATTGATAGTAAACATGCTTCTTGGAGATCATCTGTACCTTACCATTAACTCTCAAATGCTTGATTCATGAAGAAATGGATGAGAAAGTATGGTGCTGTTATGACCTATGGTTTTGCTTAGATAGGGTAGGAAGGGATGAGATCCCTGCTTTGTCTAGCATTGTAATCATATTACAGAATGTTGCCTTCCCCAGAACAGTAGAAGAATTATTATGAAGTCATGGTAGCTTCTAATACTTCTAATGAGTATTCCCTATGTGGCAGGCACTAATGAGTACTACATGTACATTGTTTCATTTAAAAACATGCCCAAATTTACAAAGCTTAGGAAAAGAGAGGACTGGTTTTAGACTCCAGGTGGTCTGACTTCAGAGCCTGGATTCTTAACGACTTCTGTAGAGGGCTATGTCTGACTGGCCTACCTTTCTCTCCAGTATTAACAGTGTCACTGTTTGTTAGGAACAGAGGTTTCTTTGCTGAGTCCATAGCCACCTCCCCAAAGTAAGAGCCATGTCTCTTTTGTTTCAACCTTTAGAACCTTCTTTATATATCAATGGTTTTTTATTTTTATTTATTAAAAAAAATTTAATGCTTATTTATTTTTTGAGGGGGGGAAGGGGCAGAGAGAGGGAGACACAGAATCTGAAACAGGCTCCAGGCTCTGAGCTGTCAGCACAGAGCCCGATGTGGGGCTCGAACCCATGAGCCACAAGATCATGACTTGAGCTGAAGTTGGACACTCAAAAACTATATCAATGGTTTTTAAAAAATTAGTTCCCATTTATTGAGCACCCACTATGTTTTAGCACCTTTGATAGAGTATATCCAGGTGTCATGACAATGATGTAACATAAATACCTATGTATATGAATGGTTTTTAATCTTTACGGGCTCAGCCCTTTTCGACAATCTGATGACAGTTTTTGATCTTCTTTCCAGAAAAATTCACTTACGTACATTCACATCATATTGTATACTTCAGAGGCGGCTTCTAGGACCTACTGAAGCTTATTGTCTAGCAGTCCATGGACTCCGCGGTAAGAACCCCTACCCTATACACTCTTTCTCAGCTGACTCTTATGTGGTGTTAAGGGGATGGATAGTGTGTGTGTGGGGGGGTGTCTTACTTCCTCAATTTCTCAGAGGGAAAGAAAGGTTTATAAAGCATAGGCTCCCAAAATTAACCAAGCATCTGTGAACACTCTTTCTTCTTCTTCTTTTAAATGTTTTATTTATTTATTTTTGAGACAGACCATGAGCAGGGGAGGAACAGAAAGAGAGGGGGAGACAGAGGATCTGAAATGGGCCCTGTGCTGACAGCAGAAAGCCCGACATGGGGCTCGAATTCACAACCCGTGAGATCATGACCTGAGCCAAAGTTGGACGCTCAACTGACTGAGCCACCCAGGCACCCCTGTGAACACTCTTTCTTTCTCTCTTTCACTTAGGACTCCAAGGGAAGAATGCAGACAATCAAATGTGTGGTCGTAGGAGATGGGGCTGTAGGTAAGACCTGCCTCCTCATCAGTTACACAACAAATGCTTTTCCTGAAGAGTATATCCCTACCGTCTTTGACAACTACAGTGCCCAGACATCTGTGGACGGCCAAATTGTCAGCCTGAACCTGTGGGACACAGCTGGCCAAGAGGAGTATGACCGACTGCGAACGCTGTCCTACCCCCAGACCAATATCTTTGTCATTTGTTTTTCTATTGGTAACCCATCGTCGTATGCCAATGTGAGGCATAAGTGGCACCCAGAGGTCTCTCATCATTGCCCCGATGTACCTGTCCTGCTGGTAGGCACCAAGAGGGACCTGCGGAATGACATTGAGACAGTGAAGAAGCTGAAGGAACAGAGCCTAGTGCCCACAACTCCTCAGCAAGGCACTTCCCTGGCTAAGCAGGTGGGGGCTGTGAAGTATCTGGAATGTTCAGCCCTGATGCAGGATGGGGTCCATGAGGTATTTTCAGAAGCTGTCCGCGCTGTGCTTTACCCTGCCACAAAGAAGAACACCAAGAAGTGTGTCCTCTTATAGCTTTCAGGGTGCTACTTGGGGACTGCACCTAAGGAGAATGAGGGCGATTCCTTTGATAGCATTTAACAATGCCAGCACAAGTGATTTGTCTCTTTTCCTAGAACCCGTAAGCTCCAGGTTGTTGGGCTTTTGGAGGAACAAAGACAGCCTAGTTTGTACATGGCTGCTTTGAAGTTTGGTCTGAATCTTCTGGAGGAAGTTTGGGGAGAGAGAGAGAGACTGACTTTTACCTCTAAATTTAGCTTTCCTACTTATATTTACCATTGAGCAAGTGCCTCACAGAAGGACAAGTTTCTACAGTTTTCAGATCATTGCCTTAAACTTTCTAATATGCTAATTTTGGAAAAGCATTTTATATGTGATTCCTGGGTGTTCCCAGTATTGGCATGTTCTTCCCATTCTTGAGATCAGATATTTTTGCAAAAAATGGTTAAGCAGCATTTTTCAAAGTTCTGTGAGATACTAATAGATGTTCCTTAAAAGGGTTCTGTGGTCAAGTAAGTCAGGAACCAGTGATTTTTTTTTTCAGTTTTTGTTTAAATGCCAGTTACCATACAGTATAATATTAGTTTCAGGTGTACAATATGGTGATTGAACACATCTGCACAACACCTGGTGCCCATCACAACAAGTTCACCCCTTAACCCCCATCACCTATTTAACCCAGCTCCCCACCCACCTCCCTTCTGGTAACCCGTGATTTAAATAAAGCTGAATAGGTTCCTCTACTGCAGGAATTTATAACTTTCAATAAGTAGGCAACATTTCCCAAAATTATTTCACTGAACTTTTTTTGTTTTGGTCCCATGCAACACCTGTTAACATCTCTGGAAACACATTTTCAGAGATACTCAGTTAATAGGTACTAGAAATTCTCACAGAGGCTGCGGGGGGAAAAAGCATAATGTGATCCTGTTCTTTTTGAGGTTTCCCTCTTTTTTAATGTTTATTTATTTTTTGGGGGGGGAGGGGCAGAGAGAGAGGGAGACACAGAATCTGATGAGGCTCCAGGCTCCGAGCTGTCAGCACAGAGCCTGACGTGGGGCTTGAACCCACTAACGTGACATCATGACCTGAAGTCTGATGCTTAACTGACTGAGCCATTCAGGTGCCCCTCCCTCTTTTTAAAAAAAGTTTTATTTTGAGAGGGAGAGAGAGAGAGAGCTAGAGCACACACAAGTGGGGGAGGGGCAGGAGGAGGGAAGACAGAAAGAGAGAGAGAGAGAGATGCAAATCTGGAACTCAAGAACCTTGAGATCATGATCTGAGCCAAAATCAAGGGTTGGCTGCTTAACCTTAACTGACTGAGCCACCCATGTGACCCATTGATGTTTCTTTCCCTCCCTATGCCTTTGAGAGGAGTATTCATCCACCATGGACTTGTTGTTGGTTCCTCTTCCACCCTCAGGAAATGGGTTTGGCACTTAGTCATGATAGTGCCTTGGGAGTGGGGTCTTGATGGTCAGATCTGCTCAGATTATGATAGCACTATGGGCTTGGCGATGTGGAGTTGATCCCTCCATAAAGCTGTGTCCCTGAGGTGTCTCTTAGTCCCTGTTTTTCTGTCAGCTTTCACTTTAGGAAAAGACCACTAAAGGTTAACCCCATAAATAAAACTAACCAACCAACAAACAAAATGTTCTGCTAGTCATTGTCAGGGAGTTCTTTGATTCCCTCAGACTCCGCAGTGTCCTCTGAGTTACCATAAAGGCTACCTTGCTCTCTTCCTGTTCCTCCCTCCTCTGTGCATCTGCATCTGTGTGTGTGTGTGTGTGTGTGTTTAGTCTTGGTTGCCTTTGAGGTCCTGTAGTTGCTCCAAGAGAGTTGGAGAGTATGTTGTATCTCCAGACCCCGGGGCTGTCACATTTGTGGGGATTTTGCTGGAGTTGCTCACCCTGCTCTGGAGAGTAGGAGTCAGATTCCTTACCCTGGTAGGCCTGCTTCTCCTTATCCTCCCTACTTGTAGTTTTGACCTTCTTCATTTTATATAGAAGGAAAACATAACTTCTCCACCTGGCAGATAGTGGTTGAGAACTCCGCTGTGTACATACTCTCTCACCCTGCCAAAATAAGCATTGGATCTTTGAGAGTCTGGGAAATGGAGTTAAAAGAATCACATCCCGCCTTCTGTGGTGGGTGAAGTGCCTGTGTTTTGCTCTGTGATGGTCTTACTGTTGCTCTTTGACAATATATGATCAGATTAGCCCTCAGGTAAACTGAACCTCCTGAATAGGGTTGCCAGATAAAAGGGAATACTTTTTTTTTTACAAATAATTTTTTTAAGTTTATTTATTTATTTTGAGATAGAGATTGTGAGTGAGGTAGGAGCAGAGAGAGGGAGAGAGAGAGAATCCCAAGCAAGCTCCATGCTGTCAGCGCAGAGCCCGACATGGGGCTCAAACTCACGAACGATGAGATCATGACCGGAGTCGAGATCAAGAGCCAGACACCCAACCGGCTGAGCCACCCTGGCACCCCTACTTTTTTACAAGTAATTTTTTACCGTAAGTATGCACCATGCAATATTTGGGACCTACTTAGTGTAAAGCATGATTTGCTGTTTATCTGAAATTCAGATTTAATGGGTCATCCTGTATTTTTATTTGCTAATTCTGGCACCCCTATTTTTGGACAATCTGAACCCTGGAGGTCAGGCAGATACCAAGTATTGTTAGAAGGTAAAAAGTCATGTAAGCTCACTAGTCTAACTCCTTTTCTTCTGGTTTTCCTTTCCTTCACCATGGGCAAAAGTGTTTTGTTTTGATTTTCCTTTATCACTGCACCCTCCACTCCATACAGTAATTCAATGGTGTATATTTTTACATCACTGATTGTCTAAAGCTGTGGGGGATCCAGGATGGATATTGGCTGGTAGATGTCTCCTATCTCAATTTCAATGTACTGTATCTATTTCCGGTGTGTGACCTAGGGCCCCAGGGTTGTAGGGGCTCTGTGTGAACAGGGTATTACCTGGAAGAAGGTGAGGGTGGCCCAGTAACACATTGGAAAGTGGGGGTCTGTTAGAGTAGTGTGACTGTAGGAGTCAACTGGCCGCTGAGTTTTCCCACAGGCAGCCAAATGAAAGCACCAATTGCTCGAGTGTATTCTAGTCTCAGGATGTTCTGATTGATGCTGCCTGAGGTGCTCACAGGACTTCGTGGTTGAAAGGGGCTAGAAACGTGGCTGACGCCTGTGTCTCTGGGAACTTTCTGTGTAGCTACTGAAATCTCTTTAATTGGCTTTTAATTTAATTGTGGCTCCTGCTCCCACTTTGCCTGGCAAATTCCCAAATGTAAGCCTGGGTTTGGTTTGGTCAAAGTTGTGTCCTCTAATGAATGGAGATTTGATCCACAAGTCTGAGAGTGTGGTTTTGAGTTGGACTATTCTGATGGTCCTAAACATACACTGGCATCTTGATTTTTTTTTACTTAAAAGGATTTTGTATCAAGACTAACATGCTAATATCACTTTTTAAATTGTTCATAATGGATGGTAATAAACTTTTCTGATTTTACTGGGTCTGTTGCTTTCTAAAGATTGAAGCAATTCCTCCACCCCCCTCCTTTGTTTTGAGTGGCTTCTAAATGCCTTTCAACTTGCAAAGGACGAAATAACTTTAATTGTCATATTTCACATCGCACCTGTGTGTAACCGTACTTATTTTTCTACCTCAGACAACCAGGGTAGGGGACTGTCTTCCCTGTTAACATTGATTCTCTAGTTCTTGCCTCACCCCAACCACCTATGTATCTCCACGATTTAGCTTCATTTCCTGCTTTTCACTAGTGACACACCAGTTAGTTCCCTGTAAGCAATTATTACACTACATCCAGTAAACAATTATCAGACTCCTGGTGTGTTAGAGGTATTACTGTACTAGTGGCTACGGTTGTAGACATGAGACATAACATTTAATGTCCTTTGCCTCTTCCAGTTATCTCAGGAAAATATCCTTCCTCTGTTTGTCATAAAAATGAACTAATACTGAATTGTGTATGGTGCCAATGCACTATTAAGTGAGTGGTAAGGAAAAGCAAAACAGGGTTGTGTTTTGTTTTGCTTTGCTTTGAAAACAGATTTATTGAAGTATAATTTACATACCAAAAAATTCACCCATTTCAAGTGTACAGTTTAATGACTTTTAGTAGTGACTGAGTCCTGCAGCTGTCACCAAAATCCAGTTTTAGAACATTTCCATCACCCCCAAAAGATCCCTCATGCAGTTAATTCCTGTGCTCATCCTCAGCCCTAGGCAATCAGTACTCTACTTTGTCTTTCCTGAACATTTAGTGTACATGGAATCAAACAATACGTGATTTTTTTTTTTTTAAATTAACATCTACACCCAGCCTGGGGCTTGAACTCATGTGCCTGACATCAAGAGTTGCATGCTCTACCGACTGAGCCAGCCAGGTGCCCCCAATATGTGGTCATTTGGAACTCACTTGTTTTTTTTTTAATTTTTAAAATGTTTATTTGAGAGAGAGAGAGCGAGAGAGCGCGAGCTTGAGTGGAGGAGGGGCAGAGAGAGAAGGAGGTACAGAATCTGAATCAGGCTCCAGGCTCCAGGCTGTCAGCACAGAGCCCAACACTGGGCTCAAACCCATGAACAGTGAGATCATGACCTGAGCCGAAGTTGGATGCCCAAGCAACCACCCAGGCACCCCTGGAACTCTTCTTTTATTCAGCATAATATTTTCAAGCTTCATCCATTTTGCAGCACACATGCGTACTCCATTTCTTTTTATTGCTGAATAATATTCCATTGTATGGATATACCATATTTTATCTACTCATACTTGAGGGAAATTTGGATTGTTTCTACCTTTTGGCTACTATGCATAGTGCTACTGTGAACCTTTGTGCACAAGGGTTTGTATGGACATGTTTTCAGTTCTCTTGTGTATATACCTAGGAGTGCTGGGAATTGCTGGGTAAACTTATGCAAAACCACATTTTAAGTCAAGAATAGCATCTTTAATATTTATAGTATCTGAAGCCTCTTTCCCCATTCTATAATCCTCCATCTACCTCTTGCTGAATCTGCTTTTCCTTAAGCACAAGCATCCAAGCAGTATAAAGTACATTTAAAAACATATTCCATTCTGCTTTTTTGCCTTAACCATTAGGATAGCAAAAGTATTCTCCTAACTTTTCACTACCAAAGTGCAGCATCTCAGCTACTATGCAGGTTTTGGCAGATCTTTGTCATCTGGCCTAGAAATGTAACTACTGTTCACATTCCAAGGGACGTCCATGCAGTGAAGTACTAAGCAGCCATAAAAGTGAATGAGGAAGAGTGCTATTAAGTGGTACACTGTGATTTCCAGGCTAAATTAAGCGAAAAAGCAAGGTGAAAGAGTATATATAGTATGCTACCTTTTGTGTAATGAAAAAGCAGAAATAACATGTGTACTCATTTGCTTATTTTTGCAAAAAAGAAATGCAGGAAGTACAAATACCAAATCATTATATTGTACACCTGAAACTAATAGAATATGTCAATTATGCCTCAATAAAAAAATAAACACAGGAAGGATAAACCAGAAATTAATGAATGGTTACTTAAAGAGAGTGGCTGGGAATGGGGTAGAGAGCATAGGCCTGGGAGCAAGACTTCAATGGAAATAGCTTTTTACATAGTTACATACTTACATAGTTACATAGTTTTTACAGTACAGTTACATAGTTTTTACATAGTTACATAGACTTTGAACCATGTCAAAATTTACATATTTTAAAAATTAAATTATA